TCAAAAACGTACAGTGTATTGTATTATATCAGTTATATTGATACGGAAATAATACGGACAGTAAGAATTCATAGAATTTGTTGCTGTTAGCCCCTTGCTCAAATCTGTATAATTTCTCCGTAAATTGTAATGCTGAGCGTGATCTCCCTAACATTATCTAGTCTATTCTTGCATTGTGTGACTGTTATTGCTGCTACAACTTCAGCTGTTAGGTGGTTCACAATACTGGTATGAATATTTAATGACATTCTACCTTAACGTTATCATATACACAGACTGTAATGCAATGTAATAACACTATTACCTGATTTTCTTGAACCCTTATATAAATTTGCAGGGACCTGAGAATAGGTTACCACTTTTTTTGGACCTAAACTAAGGTGTTCAGAGTAATGTTACACATTTTAGGGGTTTAGATTAACTTACAGTAAAAATGCCATCCCCATGTAATGATGATATGTAATCAATCTAAACCCCTGAAACAAGTAAAATTTCTCTGAACTCCTCAGTTAGGGTCCAAATATAGTGGTAACATATTTTCAGGTCCCTGTGTGTAAAACGCGTACTACAGATTTTTTACAGGGTAGAGCTTTTTTCAGCATTTTGGAAAGGGGCTCAAGGTTTTGGCATTAGGGGAAATGTGCAGCAGTAAACTAAATTGGGAATCTTTAGAATACTACCAAACACTGATTTGTTTCTACAATTAGGTGTCTTGTAAAAGAATGAAGCATCCATATGTATTGGAGATGATTTTTTTTTAATTTGAGAAATTTTAAAGAGATTTTTGGAAATAATAACATTTATTTTAAAATGGGGCTGAGTTTCGGCCCTACCATTTTTCCCCTAACAGCCCTGTAAGGAGTCTCTAAACACAGGTGGTCTCTAAACACAGGTGGCCTCTAATATTAACACAGGTGGTCTCTAATATTAACACAGGTGGTCTGTCAACACAGATGGCTTCTAAACACAGATGATCTCCAAACACAGGTGACCTCTAAATACAGGTGGTCTCTACACACAGGTGGTCTCTAAACACATGTGGTCTCTACACACAGGTGGCATCTAAACAGGTGGTCTCCTATCACAGGTGGCCTCTAAACACATGTGGTCTCTAAACACAGGTGTCCTCTACACACAGGTGGTCTCTACACACAAGTGGTCTCCACACACAGGTGTCCTCTACACACAGGTGGTCTCTACACACAGGTGGTATCTAAACAGGTGGTCACTGTTGACAGAGGTTGTCTGTCAAGCAGCATCAGCTGTATAGCCCATTTTGACACGGGGAACATTACATTGACGTCACATATTTACGTCAATGACAAATGTTGAATAAAAGTCATCAAAATTGGAAAATGTTTGATATTTGAATATATCAAAATTATAACCACCGGTTGACAAAGCTTCTCCTCTAGTTATAATTTCAAAAATATTTCATTTATTAAAACACGAAGGTATTGCATGGGCAGAAATGTGATTGTTGCAACTTAATATGACTTCTGTCCAAGTCCTATTCGTAAGTTACAGAGTTTTCAAAATGTTTATCTGTAGAGTTTGTAGTTAGATTAAATCAATATTATAACAGAACATATTTCTCATGCAAATTCTAATATGTCAACTTAATTCCTGGGCACAAGTGAATTCCATCCTAACTGCCTTAGTTGGTTTTAAACCCCATCATCCAGGTATTTGAATGCATGATATGTATTTATTTATGAATTTACCGGTGATAACCATGTGTTAGGTATTAGGCCTATGTACTTGATAAACGGAATATGCAATATGCAGGTTTACACAATTTTTGATGTATTCCATTTCTGCACTTAAGGTGAAATTATTAGATTGTTACAGGACTCATTTAGCACCCTTGTTCTATGGACTAGATAATCAAATGTAAAACCGAAACAAAGAAGGATTACAACATGAGCGTGAACCAATGTGCCGAAGGACATCACTGATTACTGAAGATTAGATCAAACAAGATACGTGTCGTTAATTAGGGTGCTTAGTTTGATATGGGTGGTATTCACCAAACTCCCAGCCTCAATATTATGATTATATGTTCATAGAGAGAAATCCAAACAAGTCACTTAAGGTATTTGTAGCTTACCATGAAACAGCACCTAAATACTTACCGGTAAACACATTTGAGAGTAGTTATGTAGTGCATGATAACTGTCCAAGTTATTCAAAATACTTATTTCTTGTGTAGTTAGTTCTATCATAACAGCATTTTCTTATCTATTATTTTTTTTTATCAATATTATTATTATTTTTTGCATTCAATCAACCAGATCAAATTCGTTCAAGTGAAAATTGTAAATTTGCTATCCCAAATTCACCTGTAACCCATCTTTATAATTCTTTCACCTGAATATTAATGACCTAGACATTAAGTTCCAATGGAAACCTTCATCGGTTATTCGTCTTAAATTTCTTACTTTAACTGGGTTTCACTTGCAATAATATGTTTCCATTAGTAATTGGCGAACAAGTCCATTCTGATGATTTTAACTTATTCACCCCTGAATTTTCATATTGAACTATTCCAACCTTTGATTTGGAAGAGTTCAAATGTGTCTTCAGGGGTGAATGAGTTAATTATGTGGGAGTTCTGGTTTTAGTTTATGTTGTATATAATTATGGTATAGTCAGTTATGTTTATAAATTTTACACAATTTCTTCTGTTTCAAGTTTACACTGCCATTTTATCTTTATAATCATTGTTCGTTATTTCAATTATTTGAATATTATTTCATCTTAAAAAATCCAATTTTTGCTTTTGTTTTATATGAAGTGTTAGTTAGCTGCTACATGTGGGGTACACAGAATGTTAAAAATAGCACATGTGTGCAAGAAATATATATATATATATATATATTGATGTCATATAATTTATTGATGATAATTTGCGTCAAAACTAAGTTTTGTCCAAAATAATGATTCCATAATTTGTATATGTATGTACATGCATTGCTTAGTGTAAATACTCGTGGAAATTAAAGTTGACCAAAATTATTTCTTGTTGGAATAAAATGGAAGTTTGCAGGTAAAATTCTTTTTGTTATTATCATTATGAAGTAATCAAATAACATTCAAGCTAGCCAAAAATTGAAGTACATACATATTCTAAAACCTATATTTTCAGTGTCACCCTGATACAACACTAACTGCTTCCTACCGACTGGGCTAGGGAGAATTTGTCTTCAGCTTATTTGGTAGATCATCGGACTAGTAAACCAGACGTCCCAGGTTTGATCCATAGCGCAGACATCTTCCTTTGTTGTATTGGCACCCCCATAGAGACCCAGGAAATATTGACAAAAACTCTCGGCAGTATTTCCACAAGAATCGCTATGACCCATGGAATACTCGGGATGGAGGTAGGGGGAGTTTGTCACCCTGGTAGAATACTAGTTTCATCCTCGATTCGGCTTAAGATAAAAAAAAATCAGCTCATTTAGAAAGGCGTCCGACATGTAAATCAGAGGCCCCTAACTGAGGCATTGCACCGAAATATAGAGAACTCTGTTACGTTTAAATTAGAATACAACATTTTGTTTCTAATTAAGTATGCTGTACTTTAGCACAAGCGATTCAAATAATTACTTTCAAAAAATTTCAAAGAGGACAAATGCAGGGACATGCACCATTAAATTAAAGCAAAATATTGCAGTCATGATGAATGTTTTGTCAAATGTTCCAAAAGTTACTGTAAAAAGTTGACTACACAGGTGCAACTACTATCCAGGACTTTCAATAATGGGACAAAGGCTTCTTAGGGACAATTAACACCTGCAGTAGATACTAGAAGTTGGCAATTGTACTTCAAATGATAAATTGTGTAGTTCATCTTGAGTACATAACGCTTACTTTGGATACTAGAAGTTTTCCGCTATTGTTCTAAATGATGTATTGTGTACCAGGTAGTTAAAATTGGAGATTGTGCTTCAAATTACCTTCATGAACTTCCGTTTCCATTTCCTTTGTTCAGTCCTTTGCTAAATCTATCAGCCGAAAGGTTTGTTATAAACCAATTCATTTGCAGGAAGAGTTTTTATATCTGAATATTTTGGTGTTTCCATCATACTGTTTTGTGAGTTCAAGTGAAAATATTGGCGCCGCAGTTGCCGAGTGGTTAAGGTGTCGGACTGTCTATGATTACTATAGTCCTCAATTACTGGGTCGCGGGTTCGAGACCTACTTGGGGCAGTCGCCAGGAACTGGCCGTAGGGTGGTGGTTTTTCTTCGGGTACTCCAGCTTTCTGCCACCACCAAAACATGGCACGTCCTTAAATGACCCTAGCTGTTAATAGCACATAAGCCACAAATAAATCTAACCAATCAAGTGAGAATGTACCACGTATATATACGTACCTCTAGCTGTGCACACTTTTAGTAATTCACAGCATCATCATAGATATCACGTTAATAATAATAATATTTTACTTATAGAAGGTAACTGAAGTTAAACACGGACAGGTAACCAAGGGCACAGTCATGTGCCTGTTTGTGACCCCCTGCTGTCTATTTTTAGTAAGTGACCCTGACCTTGACCTTAAAATCTTTTTCAACTGGACATAAAAACAGTATGATGGAAACACTATATCCCGTTTCAAAAAGTCTAATGCACATACCTCCTGGCCCTGGTCTATTCTTAGTTACCTTGACCTTAGAAACCCCTATTGCACTGTATCATTATGCCAAATTTCAAATAGATAAGTCAACCTCTAAGGAGTCCAGTGTGGGAGATCTCCCTCCACTGGGTTTTCTGAAGTGTGAGACTTTTCTGTGAGTTCTGGATTCCGAGATGAGGACTATACCAAATGGTCTATTTTTAGTAATAGTGACCTTGAGCTTGGAAACTTTTGAAAACTTTCTTGCACATCTGCATATCACTGTGTCCAATTTCAAAAAGTTAAATCTCTTGGATTCAGTGATAACCTCCGGAAACAAAAGTGTTGATGAACAGACAGACCAAAATGACAAAAAACAACACCTTTTTGTTATTATTTCATTTATTTACATATCATTTTGTATCAAATGTTACCAAGGTAGTTTGTACAGTATACTTACAATGTTCCAGCTGAAGAACAAAACTTTATTTTTTATACAGTATAAATATTAGCAGATTTCCCCATGTTCTGTGATAAAAGTTTACTACTTTGTAATGTGTAAACAAAAAATGTAGGTAAACTATACATGTAAAATATCTCCTGTAAATATTGTTGTCCATATATTATATAAACTATACTGTATACAATTTTTACGTATTTTAAAGTGTTCTAGATTCAAGTTACCACATTGATTTGTAAAACAAAAGGGGAAAGTTCTACATTAATTTCCTTAATCATAATAATTAGAACATATTCGCCATATTTCATAATTTAGAAAAAATAAACAACAACATACAGCAGAATGAATACCTTGTAAATAATGACACAGCACTGTGTACCATTTTTGTTCTAATATCAATATAGCATGGTGATATAGGAAAGCAGCACTTTCTTTCCTGTAAACTACAATTTTCTTTTAAAAATTGTTTTGCCTGTGCTAATTTCAAAACTTTTTCAGCATTTTTTTAATACACCCTCTCATTAGCAATTTTTCTCTTCATTAGTCAATATATTTTAATTCAAACATTAAATTCTTTATATGAAATTGCACCCTCGCCAAAGAGTGAAAAGGCAGGAACGAACCAAACGAAGAATTGTTACATTTAATTTCTTCAGTCCTTACATAACTGTACAAGGTTGATACAGGTTTTTTTCTGTTGAAATGAGGCCAAAGAATACATTAGACATTCATTTTCACCAGCTATGCAAGATAACCTAAAGGTTGTTCCATTGTTTATTGTAGGGGGGAGGTGGGAGCACCTGTATTGAAATGTTATGATGATCTGCCTACCATTGCTTACGATCACTTTTAAAATTTTATTTGTGGTTGGACCAAGAAAAAGTGCCTTGTACCCCTCCCTTACTGATAATTCTGGAACAGTCCAAAATCAGGTTTTGCAACATCTCCAATATCTAATAGGTAACAATAAAAGTTACCTATACCAATATATATCAAACTTAATATTTGTAATCATATGTTATTATAAATATTACTACTTTCATAGAATATGGTTTTGTGTGAAAATGTGAAAAGCATTTAATTTTCGTAATGCAATTCCCTACAATAATATCGGTACAAAGATTTATTACATCCTTAACAAGCTGATCCTTTTCATGAATATAAAATACAAACATAATAACAAGCGGAAGAAATACATAGCCACTACATTTCCTAGCATTTATTACCCCAAGTTTGATATTATTTTTATTTGAGATTCTGGAAGTTTTCATTTTATGAGGGACGTCTACCTAAAATGAAAGCTTTCAGAAGAGATTTATTGGTCTCATATAAAATAATAACGAGTTTTAAGATAATTTAATCACATATTTTGCAAAAATGCAAATTTTTCTTCTTCTCAATTTTAGATATCATCTTGATCCTACACATGACATCACAATTTGAATAGGTCGTATTACAAAGGTTATACGTTTTGTAATAGGACATACTAGTGTCATCCTCAAAAGTCAGTGAGTTACACTTTCTTACATTCTCTGGCAAGTACCGGTAAGTGAGTGTAACTTCTACAGCTGCGATGACGACTAATGTGGGCGTGACTGCATAATAACAGGAATTTTTGCGATAAAAAAATATAGGCAATATTAAACATAAATATGATATGAAATAAAATATATTATCTGTAAGGTAGGTTTGATAGGAACCTGATGGTGTAATATTGGCAATGTGGATATGTCCTTTCCATGTTACTGCCTACCTTACACTAGTCAGGAAACGTTTTAAACAGCTTCCCGACAAAAAACTGAATGGAAAATAGTTACTGATAATGGAAACTCAGGACTACACGATTGCAAGGAACAAATTTATAATAACAGAAAAATATAGTTAAGAATGCCTGACTACAATCCTTCCATTTCTGTTTTTTGTTGTCATTGATTGTTCAACTCATGGGAAGCTTGAACTAAAATGGGAACCAGCCCACAGGTGTTGAGAAAATCATGTATTTTCATGTGTCATAACCTATCCTGGCCTGTAGTTGTAAATTACATCTGACAATATCCCGACTTGTGAGCCCCTACCTACACAATACGTCCTAATTATGTTTATAATAAATCCTAAGTGTCGATCATTACATGGACATAAATCTGAAGAACTCCTAAGTACCAGCACTATTCTAATTCCCAATGGCACAAGAGTCTGGAATGTTGTAATTTTGGAAATTTGTATACAACACTTTCCAACCCCACCAGTATTTACTTGTTATTAAAAAAGTATCATACTATATAGCTAACAATATCAGTACATCTAACCCATTAACTCATACATCCAGAAAATACCTCAAACAAAATATTACAAATCTAAAATCTCAGTTCTACGTTTAGATTGGATATACCAGAATGTATCATCATCATCATATTCAAAGTTATCTAATCTCGAACTGAACATAAAACACAATTCATGCGAGATTAATGCTAATATCTTTAATAGTATTTCGCCATATATTGCAACAGAAGGGAATTCAAGGCTATTCTGAAAAGCAATGAATATCATAGATTTATTTAAGAAAGCACTAAGAATTTAAACACTGAAAACCTTTATCAGTCTGTTGAATTAAATTAAATTTGTGAAATAATTCAGAAAAAAATATATACATATTCAAATAAAACCTAAAATCCTGTAAATCACTTCAAAATTATGAAAAATGTTATCCTTATCTATTTACCGATTACAAACCTTTCAAACCGAAATAAATATTAGCAAGTTATCATGATTAAAAGATACTAGTTTTCAGATTAATTTTGAAAAATATAAATATTTTAAAAGAAAACTGATTTCAATTTTTAATAACAGGGCAATGCTAGGCCTGATTGTTTGGCAAAGGAGAACACAAACATAAACATTATCACATGAACAGGGGAATCTTTCAACACCAGTCAGTAGTTAAGGCAAGCAAACCCTTTGTTAATTGTTCTGAGCCTATCTCAATATTTAAACTCCCCATACCAGACTTTAATGTTTAATCGTATTACACAATTAGTAAAATCTAGAAAAGAAACCCATTTCTGTTACTGAAAATCTACACGGACACGACTGAAGGGTTACGGAATCTGTAACCAGCTGTATTCCGTTACAAAATATCAAGTAGTGGGGAAATGCACCAAAATCAATCACAGATTTATCATATCTTTGACCTGATAAAACATGTCATAAACTTATCTATACTTAATATGTGATATTGAAATTATGATAAAGTTTATCAGTTTTCAATGCCCACAATTTGCTTAGACAGTAAATTTGAGAACACATGAAATATCTTGATTAAAAAGCCATGCATATGAATCATAGCATTTACAGTATAAATGTACTTCGACAATACTATCCTCTCTTAAATTCTTTCCTGTGAACAAAGCTAAAGACTGGAGTAGAAAATGAGACATTATTTGAAGTTTTTTTAATCCAAAAATTCTGTTAAATAACTGGTTTAAAAGAACTGAACATGTAAAATTTGTCCAGATACTGTTTGAATACCTGCGTCAACTTAAAGTTTAGCTGTATATAATTTCAAAAATGTATACTTGGTATACCTCTTCCAGACTTTTTTTATTTTTCAACAAGATGTACGTTAATATATCACAGTTTTACGATTCACTAAAATATTGATTTACAAGAAAATGTTTTCTCAGGGTTCTCTGCAAAAGGTATCAACCCGGAGCAGCAGTAGTCAAAATGGATGTCAGATATCTCTCGAAATTCCCCAACAATTTGGTTGATTGGTCCAGGCTGGCATGCAAATTGTTGTAGTCTATGAGTTGTGTTAAATTTGTTCCTAGGAGGCAGATATGGTTAGGACATTGTCCCGAATACTGGGTTGTGTCTGCATATGCTTGGGCCATATTCATCATAGTCGGCTTTTGTGTGGCACACTTGGTAAAATTCAGGCTGAAAAAGTGGAAACAAATACACATTTTAATTTTGGTAAGGGAAAGACCTTGGCATTTACCATAACAAGCAAACATCCACCATTAGTCCATTGTATTTGGTATACACTACTGATCCATACTTATATAGTACACTGTAGACATTTAACCTGAAGAAAAACAGAGCTTTCAAATATTTGCACACTGAATATGGAGCAAGCTTTACCCAGTAATTCTTTAAACCTCTAATGTGTGCATACCAAGTACAATACTGGAAATGTGTTCTTCAAGACACATGGATTGATCATACATACCTGAAGGAAGCTTTGTCATTTTTGTGTTTTTTTTTGTTTCACTCAAGACCATAAAATCATGGATAAAATTTCAATTTGAGCTTTTATTTTTGTTATGATCTGTATATTGGATAAACAGTGCATAAATAATTAACAGTTTCATTGTAAATGTACAAAAATAAATCAAAACAAAGAAAACTATTGAACTCACAGTTGAGGCTAGCATACTTCCACCAAACCATACTGCATATCTCTGCATATGGTGAGTCACGACTTGTACATTGATTGGTTTGGGCTGAAAGCAATAAAGAAACCAATTAAAAGACAAATTTAAATCACTAAACATGTCATATGATGTTGAACAGACTACACATATGTCATTTGGAAGCACAATACGTAAATATCCCAGAGGGTGAGCCAAGAGGTACTCAAAATAAACACAGTTGTGGAAAACCAGTATCAGTAGAAAGACAAAGATCAATCATCCTTAGTAATGCAAGGGATACTAACTTCATACAAGAAGAACCAAAACCGGACAGCCAGATCTGGAATTAACAAAATGCAATGGTGGTAAGTATAAATGTATACCTTTATCCGCCCTCCGCTAAGTTCCTCGCTAATCTTTAATCTGTGGTCCACAACTCGCTTCACGTCTCGTTGTAACTTTTTACCGAAGTCTTTGAACATAGTTGAGCCTCCAGAAAGGACAATATTCTGAAGAAACAAATTCATAAAATATCACTAGTGAATTTAAACCACGCACAAAAATGTCCATCCATTTTATAAGGAAACTAGAATTATGTCAATGTGACATTAAAGCCGCTCACCACTTTAAATTTAATTGCTTCAGTAACACGTTGAGCATCAATACCTACTATAATACCTCAGATATGTGTTCTGTATTCTGCTAATTGAAAATCAGGTCATGTGAAGATGTTGCCTTTGGAATTTCCAAAGTCAATCACCTCTTAAATGATGCTTTAAAAACATTCTCCCTCTCCTCTTATTTCACCCTCTTTAAGTGTGACGCATTGTTGTAATTTTCATTAATTAGCATCCTCAGATGATGTGACATGTGTATTTACATGCATAATGGCAATCGGTGAATGGATAATAAAGAATAGGTGCATTTTGTGCTTGTGAAATGAAGGATAATTAACAGTAGTGGGAAAACATGCCTGGAGAAAAGAGACATTGTACTCCTTTTATTTTTATTTATATCTTATTCATATCAATAATAATTTATATGTAGTTTATTTACTGTCATTGAATATAAAAAATCTCACAAATGTTCTTGAAATATATTAGAACTATATTTCTCAATGCGACTTTACCAACGTAAGAGTTATTTCCCTTACACCGGATTGGATAATATTTTGACACGGCGCAAATTCTTGTCAAATAGCAGCGGCAGTTGTGTCATGTTCTTAAATTGTTACATTTTCATAATAAATAAATACAACAGAAAAAGCATGCTGTGTTACAGAAATGTTTGATAAGCATACACGGTTCACATATCGTCTCGGAGCCATTACCGTTATCAACCTAAGCATGATATGTCCTATTACGTTCCTGTTTGAAACATCAAAATAAAGGTTATATTTCATCACTCATACGGTTTATAAGTATATATATTTACTTCTTCCTTCTACAGACAGCGTCAATGCTCGACAGTCTTCACATGTGCTTTCTCGAATCATATGTGTTTCACACGCGTAAACCTCCTCAGACCTCAATCCGAGTTGCTAAAATGCTCAAACCTAGTGCACGAATGCACCGGAGATAAACATTTAGTTTTCAGCAATTATTCAAAGTATGGATTATTATTTGGAGAAGAGTATCAGAAGACTTTATGTAACCCACAGGTGAGTGTCACGAGATTCTACTTTCTATTTACGATAACGAAACTATATAGCAAAGCGGAAGCATGCAAGACTGAATTATGCGAACGCACCCCAAACGGAAGTGAGTCCGTCATTTCATTCTCTGGACAGAATTAATAAGCCTCTCGGCTCTTGCCAAGAGTGGCTTAAAAACAGTCTGATGAGAATAAAATTTAATATCTACCAGTAATCAAGATAATGTGGAATGTCATTAATCTCATTTCATATAAACATGTCCTAACATTTTTCATATACAGATCCCTCCTCATATCTATTGGGAAATGCTAAAACTATATCGACTTTCATCTATGAGACATTATCCAAATGTTTATAATATAAGGAAGGGGTTATTATCAAGACTGTAGTGTGTTGTAGATCTATATGGCTTTGCAAAAACTGGCCCCTATGTAATTGAGGCAGTGTATTTTACAGAGTCTCCTAAATGTTTATAGGCCATTGTCTGCATTATAAACCCCGTCCTGATGACTATGGAGCAGAGCCTACCTCATACAAACCCCTCCTAACATCTATAGGACAGTGCCTACCTTATACAAACCCTCTGAAAATACATGGGACAGTGCCTTCCTTATACAAACCCCTCCAAACATCTATAGGACAGTGCCTACCTTATACAAACCCTCTGAAAATATATGGGGCAGTGCCTACCTTATACAAACCCCTCCGAAAATATATGGGGCAGTGCTTAACTTGTAAAAAATCCTCCGAACATAATATGGGACAGTGCACGTGCCTACCTTATACAAACCCCTCCGAACATCTATGGGGCAGTGCTGGATCACTGTATCAACCACCTCTGAGATAGGTGTGATGAAATCTGGATTGGAAAACTGTAAATGAAGAAAAATTAATATTAAATATATTTATATTCCATACAAAAACATTTGAACTGTGAATCAAATCCTGCACAAAAAATTGAATTTCATAGATGCAATGATAGATAATCATTTTTTTCTATGCCTCAACCGGTTTGTCTGTTTTTAAATGTCACATTTTCATGTAAAAATCTTGGCGGACCTAGGAATGTTTATGCAGGCCTTGCAAGACTTTGTCAAGGTTTCCCCGGAAAGCAGCAACAGATTACTAGGTCCGACTCAATTTTCTTAACAGACAACTCTGGTTCAACTGTTTGGATCGCGATAAATGAATGTAGCCATGGTAAATTTGTTTAACAAGGACTAGGTAGTGTAACAAACTACCCGAGTAGGTAGTGTAAAAACGTGTAGCCGACATGACACTTTGAAAGTGTTAAATACCGTATTTAAGTACGAGAACAAATCAATGGTTAAAAAGTGCTAATGTTCTTACTTGTCTAGGGGACTACATTTTTCACTGTTTTTTTGTCTAACATGTTATGGCAATATATGCAGAGTAAGGATTTGAGAGAAAAATAATCACGCCTAACTTTGGAGATAAAACACAAAATCTAAATTCAAGGGATGGAATTCTAAATGGTCAAGCCATCAGCACAAAGGGCAAGACCATTTATGAATCTTGCCCAAAGTTTTGAAATGTTCCTGTCTTAGGCCAGAAAAAAATAATTACTTAGTTCTCAGGCCATTTTTTTCAAAAGAGATGCGGCAGGGAGGTATTTATTTTTAAAAATCATTTTACATTGCAAAAATGAGACGAGGGCGATTTTTTTTTTATTGTGTAGTTTGTAAAACGTTCATTGTGGACATTACATTGTCATTTTATAGTTGTGTAGAGACCCGTCATAGAACAAGCCTCCGAAAATCCCCCCACAATGTTCCAGACGAAAATCACAAACCCCCCCATTTCTTATTTGTACCGAAATGAGCGCCATTTGGACACGAGACCAAGTCATAATCGTATCAAGACTTGCCTGTATATCAATTTCCTTATCTTTATTCAAACGTTTTCGGGACTTGGGTGACAAATGAGTGAAAATGACATGCGGACCAATTTTCCAGATTTTTTTTAAAGATGGCGGCTGGCGCATTCACATTTTTTTTATTATTACTTTCACGATAAAATAGGCAATGCGGTGCCCTAATTGAAATGAGCGCAGACCTGAGAACAAAGTAATCAATTTTGTTTGGCCTTATCCTCAATGAATAAAGTGTGTGGACTGGAGAGATTCTATTGATGTACTTTACCTCTGGATGGAAGAAAATTTCTGGTCCGAGGAATCTTTCATATCCGACGTCCACGCCAAATATCTGCTTCGTGATGCTGTTGATGCTTTCGTGTCGTTTCATCCACTTGCTAGGGTCTTTGTCATACTTAGCAAACTCCTTAGCAATGTCTGGACAAACGTAGGAATATTTCTCCTATAACAGAAAGAATTAGGGTTAAATGACTCCAGCTTTTAATATCTGACCCTAGGCCTGTGCTTTCATTTATCAGCGTGATAGATATGTGAAATTCATTTGATAAGAACTGTTGCTGCACGTTGGGGAATTAAAGAACAATAGACGTTCACGAATATGCGTGTATTATTGACCTTCTGGGTAGATAGGTTATTAATATTAATAAATTTTCATTCATTTTCCTTACCATAGTTTGCTTAAACATACCCTCATCTGCATAGATAGTTCATGAGTATGCAGAAATAAAATCGACTTTGTGTGTAGTTTATTAATATTTATAAATTGTCAATCAATTTTTGTTTAATATTATGTATAAACCCAGAGACTCATTTTATGGAGTCAAAAACATACTGTCAAGGGACTACTAAAACCCCTGAGGATATCATTTAGATCATTCAGTCAATCAAAACTTAGATTGACAGTACCTTTATTGCTTTTGCCGTTTCTAAGGACTGTTCTGGTGGGATGCCCACTTCTCTCTCTCTCAGCAGTTGTTGTATAAAGTATGTGATGTCCCGTCCAGCGATGGGGATGTGTTTGATACAGCTACCGATCACATAGCCTTCTGCCTGTAAGTCAAAGATACTAGCCATAAATAAAAGAAAGTTACAAATTTTTCAGCCTGCAAGACCAAATATTTAGTACATTTACTTTAGAATAAAAGGCACCCCTGACTTTGGGCTAGACAAAATATTTAGTACATTTACTTAAGAATACAAGGCAACCCTGACTTTGGGCTAGAGAATAGGATGAAATGTTTGCTATAGTTCAACTAATGCAAAAGTTTTCCATTATATATTATATGGTATTATAGAGTATATAGTGATGTGTGTGTGGTGGGGGTGGGGGGTAGGGGGGGTGTAATCAATTTTGGGCTCCGTGTAAAAGATTCTTTTTGGAGGTCTCCGATTCCAGGACAATCTGAAACCAGTTTAGACGCTAGTTACATTGCAATGGACCCAGTTGAAAGGCTAGTTTATACAGTTTTCTTAATAATATCAAGTTCTAATACTGTATACCCTGGTTTCAATAGGACTATGGATTACACGGGTTAAAATTAAGATTTAGATATTTGACTTCCTTTAAATAAGACAAAAAGAACCAATTATGGTCTGCGTCTAAAGTGTATACATACCACTGGTATAACGTGTGTAACACCGTCTCCCGAGTCAATCACAGTTCCTGTTAGAGTTCTCTCCCCTACTTGTCGAGACGTCCAAGATGCAGCTAGAGCTAACACAGCCTGCAGTTTAATTATTACAATACAGCAAATCAGTGATAATTCAACATGAGGACCCTTCACTGAAGATCCTCATCTAAAACGTTATAATTAAACCTCCACCACCAGCTCCCAAACTTAAAGACCCACCAACACTATCAATGATATAGAAAATAAGGGTTGGTTAGTTATACATATATACAATATTAATATTCTTGAACCAGAATTATTCCGTCTTTTCGTATTGCAGCGTTATCTGCTCTTGTGAGCAGATATTGATTGTTAAATCATTAGTTTGTATGAGAAAATTACGTCATTTTGTCAAAAAAATGACGACAATCTCACAAAAAAAATGACGTAACAATCAATTCCAGCTATCAAGAGCAGATAACTCTGCAATACGAAAAGACGGAATAGTATCCTATGAGCAGTCAACAGATCAATATGAACTGTTTGAATAATTCAATATCTCATTTAATCTTTCTTAATTAAAGCTCAGGTATTTTTTTTACATTAGTATGGTAAAAGGTAGATTTCAAAAGAGTTATCTTTAAAGTAAGAAGTTTTGAAAAGAAAAGTGACAACTTGTCTATTTGTTCTTTGTATTATATTATACAAGTAAACATGAAACAAACCTTAATTGGCATTAGCAATCAATAATTTTACCCAGAGCTGCCCAAAAATAAACATATTACAATCTTTTTAAGACCCTGTTTTTCAAATAAACTAGATCTCAGTGTTGTTTACTGTCAGACTTTATTAACCTCGAGCTCCATCTTACCTGTACAGCAATATATAAACCGGGCACATTGAAAGACTCAAACATAATTTCTGCTGTATATTCTCTGTTTTCTGGAGTGTTAAGGGGTGGTTCCGTCTGAAGCAGACAATAGGAAAAATATGTAAATATTTCTTGAAATGTTGATTCCAAATCAAAATCCTTTAGTGAATTGTAAAAAAGAAGATTTTTTTACATGTGGTAATGTTCATGTTTTTACTCTACAAATTCAACGCATTGTAGATTTATTTTGCATTAACAATGGTTCTCAAATCTATATATATTTTATCTATATAATCTATTTATATTTTGTGTGGATATTTCTACTCTTAATTTACTCAATGTGAAAAATGTGAGAATTTCCACACCACATTTTTTTTACAGTACTTATTCTGTCAGATTCACAATGGTTGTGAAAGAGACTTTTGCTGTCACTTATTTGGAATGGAGAGATAAAAGATCCAAACAACCTCTCTCCCTCCACAAAAGATTAATTACTCATCAAAAATTACATCAAAGCAATGAGTGTTTGGATTTTAATAGTAAAATGAAGACCAAGCAAAAATTTACATGTTTACAGAATGTAAATTTAGGTGATAAGGTATATTTGATTATTAGTTTCACATACTACTTACAAGGAGGAAGAAATGGTCTTCTGGCTCTGACCGTAAATATTTGAAGATTGCTTGTTCCATGAATCTCTCCATGAGATCCCAGTCTTCCACCACGCCATGTCGAATGGGCCACTAAAAACAGAAACAAGATGACATATTCAGCTTTAAAATAAAAAAAAATCAATTTAAATTAAGAATTCTCTGATTTTACTGATCTTTTCTGTCCACATGAGTTTGTTCTTTTGCTATCACTCTAGGTAATAATAGAATATGTATAAGGAGGTTTAACTGATCGTCATGGGAACAATTCTTACATCTCAAGCCATGGCAACAGCAGGTGAACTCAACATTTACAAGTAAGCAAGAAAAATTGATCGTATGACAAACAGTGAAACCCTCAACCCTTTCACCCATATGTAGCTTTAGTCGACTACCATGCATTGATATGGATGAGACCATTTTCGTCTACAGTGGTGAAAGGGTTAAATCAATTTATTCTCGTCTGTCCTTTCAACTGTATTGCTAAAAACATTGGGTCCCATCAAAGTTCTATGTATATACAGGACACATATGTAGACTTATCACTGCTTGTTTAAAATAAAACAATGATGTAGTAAAGTTACAGTTCTTTACATATACCATACCTTCACAGAGTAAGACGGGGCGTTTAGAGCTTCATCACCAATGTAGAAATCAAGGTCCTCTACTCCCTTGCCAAGCCTCTGGATGGAACGGTCACCAACTGTGGCCGACTCTTTCACACCAATGGCTGATGGAATGATCCATTGTGGTTCTGTATTACCAGCAAATCCCATTTTTGTGTAGCTATAAAACAATGCCGATTTATTTTTGAAATTTGATACATGTATATGAACAAACCTGAAGCAGTCTCACTGGCTGAGACCAGTGTATTCGCTTTATAAAGCTCTCCATAAGAAGATACATCAACCATTGGACATGATTTTTAAACTGTTCAAGGAAAAGAAAGATGGCAGACGATCATGAGCAGGTAGCAGTTATAAATGAGAATTAACATCTTCTTTTCTTTCAAATTCTTTAATCTAAAGGATGACTGCTACCTGCAAACATGATATAATGATTAGTTAATTATAAGATAGGATTTTTTTTTAAATTTTATACAAAGAGCTGTTGATATCTAGATCTGTCTTACAGCTGAGTTGTTGAGGCAGCAACAGTCAAACTAATTGGGTATAGACTAGATTGACAATGAAAAGATCAGGCGCAGAGGTAAAACTGAAGATAAATTACACTGATTTGAGCTAAGACATGCCAGTAGATAGGTCTTCATGAATCTTAAAATCCAGAAATAAATACATGTAACCACAGGGAAAATCCTTGAATTTAAGAGCAGTGGGCCATTTTCAGTCTAAATCAAAATTAAGAGAGACCATTCTATGTAAAATTTAAAGAAAATTGGAACATGCAGGGGTCAATTTCAGTTTTGAGTGGTAAATGGCGCCATCCAGATTTATCCCTGTAACTTTACTTATATATCATATCTAAATCTTACAAATGTAATTTGCAAGTATGCACCAATCCAGCCACTGACCACACTCCCGTGTTAAATAATGTCTAGATGAAAAGATTTGTTTTGAAACCATCGATAATCTGCATAACCTTCCAGTTTCTTAAAACCAGTCCTCTGCCTTGATTTCTGTTTTGAAACAGGTGAAAAGTTCTGTTTGACAAAAAAGTAATTGGAGATCTAAGAATTTATGATCATGTAAAGCAGATGACCATTGCTGTCAATGTTTACAGTACAATATGACTTTACAATGGCTATTAACTTCCTGCTTAAAAATATATTCCTGCAGATATTTAAAAGAAATCATCAAAACAAATGAAAATGAACTGAATTACATTCACCTACCCTGTACCATTGTCAATGATAACAGCTGGGGTCCCTGTGGGACTTTTAAAACTAGCTCCACCCGACATTTTTGGTCAGATGAACAGGTTAGGAGACAACGCCTTAATTCAGCTCGTCGGCCAAAACAACAGAATGATACACGGGGGATGTGTATAGTGTTCAACAGTCTCTGACTCTAACACGGAAGTGAAATGGATGGATTGTCAAGCATTTATTTCCTGTTGGAATGAAAACATTGGACACCTAATAGGCTGTCTAGAATCACGTGATTAAGTAACAATAGTATGCACAAGGAAGGATTTTGATTCACACAGGATGGTAGACTTCGAGCGAGAGGATCGATTAAATGACATTCGTGCTAATATTGACTACTGAGGGCCGAAAAATCGCTGTCCTAAATTTACAAGCACCCGTGCGGTCCGCCCACCCAGACAAATTTCTGCTTTTGTGTTTTGATTTTGTTGACAACATAAAACACAATATAAATTCATACCCCGTGCCATTATCTATGACAACCGCTGGAAGCCTTCCAGCCATTTTTGGTTTGGAATTATTCAAAGACTTGAGTCTGCAGCAAACTTTCACCCAGGAAGTGAGTCAACCGGCGACATGAGAGAGGTAACAATATGGCGATGGGAGTGAACTTTACCTCGTTCTCAATACACACTTCTGAATCAGATACAATTTAGCATTACATTTAAATATCTTATTGATTAAACACATTTTTGATAAATGAACAATATCATTTCACAGACTTCGTTATTTAAATCATAGCGTAATAAACAAAGGAGACGGATAAATAGAGAAGTAAATAACAAGAAAACAGTTGAAGTGCGTATGATTATGGTAACCTTTATTCGGAATATTTACTCGGAGTCTTTCGGCATTTGACATCGATAAAATTGGCTCGTGAATAAAATACGGGAAACTGGATTCACGTTTCGTTTGCACATGTCTAGTTAATTTAGGCAATTTCGAAATTAATAATTTTCACGTCACACAAAGGCATATCTCAAGCAAATATCATTATGTACTGTAAAGAATGTGCCGAAGACCAGTGTCAGACGTTTCGCCCCAAAACCGTAACGCCCCAAGCTGTCGATATTTTAACGTTACGCCCCAAATTTTCCCGAAAAAAAATTAACGACCCAAATAGTTCGCTCCAAAAAACCGTAACGCCCCAACTAGTTGGAACATAAAAAGTTGCTTGCTCATTTTTTCTATTTTCTTGGGAAATTAGTTAAATAATTATTGACTGTGTTTTACCGTGCTAAGGGGAATAACTCTTGTTTCGTGTATACTACGGAAAGGTAGGCGATACCACCCATCAAATATATACATATTATTTTGGTTTTGCAAAGCCGGAATAGTAATTATTTATTGAAAACAAATTAAGTTAATTAACTATTAATTTATAATTAAGTTCATTTACTATTTTTGTTTATTTTTGTATGCATGAATCGGTCTAATTAAAGAAAATTACGTTAGTTTTTATAATATATGTAGCTTTTTGGGGCGAAATAGTTGGGGCCTCTTTTTTTTTGGGACGAACTGGTTGGGGCGCTATGAATCAAATTTTGGGCGTATCATCTTGGGCGTTAAGGTTTTGGGGCGAATTGTCTGACACCCGTACATCTTGTCATCAAACTTTGATGGATGAAGTTATAACATAAAATGTAGCATTGTGTACATTCTTTCATCATACAGTTACGCGTGTGGCTTTAAAATAAACAACAAATGTGTACATGTTGTCATCAAACTGTTATCGCTGTAGCTATTAAACAAACAACAAAGCTATATATTGACGATCTGTCGTAAATTACTAAAATCAGAGGGGCAATTATTTTTCCCGGTTCCTTTACATTTTTTTGTCGCTGCATTGATGGTAGGTGTTATTAAGATAACAACGTTAGGAAAATAAATCCACAACAATATGTTTAAGTGTAATTGTTCCCAACACAAAACTACCAAAGGACACATTATGTTGACTATTAAATAACCAATGAAAGTAGGAGGACGTCGGACGGTATAAATAAAGCAGCATACCAACTGAAATATCACATGTATATTTAATTTGATGTATATGTATAAGATAAATAGATTATTTCCATGCGTGCCGTATCATATCTATAATATCTATGTTAGGCATGTATTTATATACTTAAGATAATATATATATGTTAAAGATAATTAGATTATATATATATTTAGTATCTATTTTAGGCACGTATATTTAAGATGATATATATCTGAAATTGAAAGAGTTACCTCCCATTAGCTTCCTTTTATAGTTCAATATAGGTTCGTAGCGGTTGCCCCGGAGCGATACAGGTTTTTGAGGCGATATAGCTTTTGGGACGAACAGAAATTTTGCGGCGATATGGTTGTCATACTTGGGGCGAACTGAACTGAAAATTGGGGCGATGTGAAAAAAAATGGGGCGAACTGGTTTGGGGCGTAACGGTTTTGGGGCGAAATTCCCCGAAATTGGGGGTAGAAGTGGGAGAGCCTAAACACACACTTCTGAAAATAAGATTCACGTTTGAAGGAATACGTGGATTTTTTTTGGCAAGCTTATTCATTCATTTTTCTCAAAAAAAATCCATTTTTAAAACTTCGTTTAGGTCTAAAGGCAAACATATTTTTAACTTATTTGAATCAGGCACGCATATTACGTAATATGTAAGTCTCTGGAGTATCTGTTTGAATATAGGTCACAAACTGCAAATTCTAAACCAATTCGTTTTAAGAAGCAATTTGTTTGAAGATGTACTTTCTCATTATGATATTCCTAAAAAGTATATATCATATATTGAGAAGAAGTACAGCATAAGATTAAGTTATAAGTCCGTATAAGAAGGGTACTACAAGTGTCTGGTTCTCCAAGAGAAGGCCTATTTCCCGAGGCGAAGCCTGCAACGTTCACGTCTCGTTTTCATTTACTTCAGAAGATTTGCATTACATTTAACTAATTATGACCAAATTATCTTTTAACTGTTTAATAACGACGAGCGAAGTTATTACGAATCCGTCGAATATGAAGAATACTTAGTGGCCACACGGAACTAGATCAAGTGGTGGTCAGAACTGTTTGTATCAATCGGAAAATCAGCTAAAATGGCGAACAAATGTCGATTTCTTTAATAAAAAACTAATGGGTAATGATAACCTAAAATGCTTTGCTGAGAAGAAACTTACTTAATTTTAAGAATTTTTACTTCCATAATTTAGAAGAAAATCCTATTTTTCAATTGTGCAAACATTCACAGATTGCTAATAAGACACCAGGAAGATATTGATTGTATTTTCTGCATATGACCAAAATGATATTCCGCTAAAAACGTGGAATATGCAAATTTCATATATTTGTCCGATAACAGAAGAAAACAAGTACAAGGGCACAACATTTCCTTCGTAGCTTTACAATTCTCATAATTCCCTCTTTAAAATAAATCAGGACTGAAAGAAAAGTAAGTCATAAGAAACATTTTGCTTTTTACATTGTGTATAGATACATGTACTTTATCAATCCATATTGATATTTGTAACCTCTTGAGTTCGTACTTTCAATATATTTGTCAATTATCCACTTGCGTAAGATTCTGGACTGTATGAAAAGGATATTTATTCGAGGCCATAATTATGTCTGCGTTGACATTAGCACTGGGAGAATCATTGGCAAGGGATTGACAAGCGTCACTGAAAAGTTTACAGACAATCTTGACAAAACCGCCTAGATAAGGGATCTGGCTGTTGGGTATGGCATTCGCCTTCCATTATTGCCGACTCCATCACCCTATTCACCTTTGGAACCAGCCTCGACCAATTTGCTTCCTTAACAGGGTATTAGTTTTGGCATTTGGTGTGAAAATGAGGCAGTTCTGTTTTTATGCCAATTTTATTTAAGAAACCAATAACATCCGGAATCCTGTTTATAACTAGGACATCGTCGGCCTCAAACAATGCATGACTTTGTTTTCTACATTGTGATTTAACATGTGTTTGGTGATGATACGATATACTTGTTATGATCATCTTCCAGAAATTGTCACAGAGCAGACACGATGTAATCATCTATAGTAGTTATCATTATAAGTTTGACTAGTGATCGCCTATTATGCATTAAATAAATATACTGTCACTGAAAGGGGAAAATTTGCAGTTTTCTATGGACTAGTGGGTCCCAATTGCAACGCCCAATCCTGCCAAGAAAACCTGTAAGTCCCTTTCTTAACGGCAACGCCCATTCTTGCCATGAAAACCTGTAAGTCCCTTTCTGAACGACAATGCCCATTCTTGCCAAGAAAATCAGCTAGTCCCTTTCTTAACGACAACGCCCATTCTTGCCATGAAAACCTGTAAGTCCCTTTCTTAACGACAATGCCCATTCATACCAAGAAGACCTGTAAGTCCCTTTCCGAACGACAATGCCCATTCATGCCAAGAAAACCTGTAAGTCCCTTTCTTAACTGCAACGCCCATTCTTGCCATGAAAACCTGTAAGTCCCTTTCTGAAAGAAAATGCCCATTCTTGCCAAGAAAACCAACTTAAGTCCTTTTCTTAACGGCAATGCCCGTTCTTTCTAAGAAATGTTTTGCAAACAACTGGGTGTAATGCTAGATAACGTCAAGTCTGCCGGTGTGGTGTCCGGAATCCAAATGATCAGGGATGCAGTGCTGCACTAATATCTGTCTTGCGAAATGTGGGTTTTACTAGAAATTGTCAAGTTGATTCAAAAGGGAGTGAAAGGAATTGAAGAGAAACATGTGCGGAATTTCATCAGCTATTTACCTAAACCACTTTGTGCACCGCGGTTTGCCGTTGAGCGTAGATAATGTTGCACCATGTTGATCAGTTCAGTAAAGTGTACAAAGGCCAGTTAAACGTTAAAAGCCATCTTCATTCAAGCCAATTATATGGTATGTTTTGCAACAAAATTATTTCATCTTGTCTCGGACCCTATCTGGTAGATGGTCATAACAAAGATGCCAGAATCACCAAATACTACTAGTACAAATTAATGTGACAAACATGCAAAGAACGAGGATGTTCTTGTTATAAACACGGGATTATGGAGCCTATTGACATGCCAATGAAATTTATATCAAAGACAGATAATTATGCCCTATTTCGTTTCCACCCAAAGGCAAACACTATTACTCTGTTAATGGAGCAAATGAGTGGAGACTGATCACAAT